GCGGAGAAAAGCAAGAGAATCGCCTTGATTGCTTCTGCCCTTCGCTCTCATTTAATTTGTGTGCGAAGCCTCTAAAAACCCTGTTTTCTCTCCCCCCTCCTAACCCTCTTTAAGCCCACCTAAACCCTTGATTCATGGGTAAGAACTAGGACTGCTGAAGGAAGTGAAGAGGGTTTGGTCCTCGCTTTGGGACAAACCAGGCTTTGGAAACAAGACTGAAGAGTTATTAAGGAGTGCTTCAAAAGAGAAGGGGAAGCAGGAAGCTTTTAAATAAAAAAGCCCAAAGTCCCATTAAGCTTCAGCAAGATTTCGCCAGGCTGATGTTTACACAAGTGGTGCAAGAAAGGTACGGGTTAGTTTGTCAGAATCTCAAAATACTTAGGATGTAGATAGGAAATGGTTGATCAGTTGTGGGAGTCTCTGCATGTTGTTGTTGTTGTTGGGCCAGTGTGGTGCCTCTGATAGAGACAACACACACCTTAGGATCANCCCCCCCGGACGGGCTTGGAGCTGTTTGTGGTCCTGAACTCTGCTGTCTGTCAATCAGGGAATTGCTATTTCACCTCCCGGGAGTTTTCACCTGTATGGCCTAAAGTTTCCCCACCCAGATTGATCTCTAAAACAATTTCCTCCAAAAGCTTCATAAGGGATCCTAAAACAAAGCGGGGATAATTTTCCTCTCCCGTTTGGTGCCGCCTTTAGCAACTAATTATTCAGTGCTTTCCTTTCCTTTCCTTAGAAGAGTTTGGTGGTGGTGTTGTTTTTTCCACCATCCGGTAGGGTGTTTGTGGTCAGTTCTTTGCTCATTTTGTTGATAAATAGGGCTTCCATTTTTCCAAGTCGGCTTTATTGTCTTTAACCTCATTTATCCCCCAGGTTATTTGATTTCCTCCGAGTGTCATCCCCCTGTTCTGTGAAACTGGGATTATTAATATTTGGGGAGGGGAGAATCTATTATAAAACTCTAAGCCAAGGTGATCCCACGGGATAGAAGGAGCTTATAAAAACCCGTCATTTAATCAGTTGATATAACAGATATCTCTCTTGGAGAAATGTCTGGGGTGGGGGCTGAAAAATCTTGTTAAATATGATTTTTCCCCCTCTCTTTCTCTCTCTCAAATGGAGAGCATCTGTGACTTGAACCCTTGTCTGGAGGAATTCCCGTTGGAAAGCGTAGAACTTCAGAAGCTAGAAAACTACCTAGAGTAAATCCTGTTTAATGTAAAAAAAAAAAAAACCTGAGCTAAAGCATCTCCCAGAGGTCACTTTCTCTGCCCCAGAATCTCAGCAGGGCCGGCCAAGTTTTTTCCCCTTGCAATTCTTCCTTTTGGTTCTTAAGAATCTCAGCTCCTGGTTTTGCCTGGTAGGGAAACTGAAGTAATGAGGACAAACCAGCACAAGAATTATACAGGCCTTTATTTAAAGATAGCTTTTAAGAAAACATTAAAGAACTTTTAAAGGTCTCCTTAATTTCTAGGAGAAAAATCTTGTTATGCCATGCAGACAGAACTGGACAAAAAGGGCTCACTCTGAGCCTGGTTGTTTCCTTCCAGACATTTCATGACCCAACTAGGTAACATCACCAGTGCTAGTGAGTGTGAGGTCTGCTCCCTGTTTACATAGAGAAGCTCTGAGCTTGGTTGTTTTCTTGCAGACATTTCATGACCCAACTAGGTAACATCACCAGTGCTAGTGAGTGTGAGGTCTGCTCCCTGTTTACATAGAGAAGCTCTGAGCTTGGTTGTTTTCTTGCAGACATTTCATGACCCAACTAGGTAACATCACCAGTGCTAGTGAGTGTGAGGTCTGCTCCCTGTTTACATAGAGAAGCTCTGAGCTTGGTTGTTTTCTTGCAGACATTTCATGACCCAACTTACATTGTCACTGTGAGGAGGTGTGGGGTTTTTGCTCCTTATTATACAGCATACAGTAGCCTCCCCCCACCAATTTTGGCAGGAGTGTGTTTTTCTCCTTGATTAGAGTATTGTTTCCTGTTTGATTGTCTGGGATTAATCCCTACTTATCTAGAGGTTGGTGGCTGGAAAGGCTGCGTTCTGGTCTTTTTGTTTCCTCCTTAGCTTTTTGTTGACTCTATTCCATGGTGTGTAAATGTGTTTTATCTCTTTGTGTCTGTTGATGGCTGCTGTATCCCAGGCCAGAAATACCTTGAAGAGACCAATTGTGTTTTTCTAGATGGCTTTTGAATTGCCATCCAATCTCTTAGCCTGGCTTGAAAGAATGCAAAAACAAAAATGGAATCTTTCTTCTAGTTATTCAGCCTTCCTCCTTTCTCCTATGCAAATTCAAGTCCACAACGCTTTAACTAGAATGTCTTTTTTGTTTCAGACAATACCTGTTTTGATAACTGATGTACCACTTAAACAATGACAGAAGGATATATTTGTATGGCGGGAGGGGGCGGGGAAGTACGACAAGATACAAAGAACAGAGCTTAACAACTGCCTCGAAGAACTTAAAATCAGGCTGATCACATGACCAATCCATTTCTTGACAATCAGAAGACACGACTGCAATAGGCAGACCCCGTTCCAGTCATATGCATTGTATTCTCCTGGCAATTCTCCTTTCCATACTTTTAAAAATAAGCACAGGGAAGGTTTTTATTTTATAATCTCAAAGTAAGAGATAATTTTGTAATCCAACACTTTTGGCTGCAAAGAAAATCAGAAGCTGCTTCGTCGCATGTGTGTGCGTGTTCCAAATAGCATCCAAAATTAAATCAGAGTCCGAGGCAAAGCATTCCTCAAAGTTCTAATTTATGAAGACAGCCATGTTGGCACATCTGGGAAAACCTGAATCTGAAAGCTTTTCCCCATCCAGTTGAAAGTTAAAGATCTTTCCCCCACGCCCACAAGTCCATCCCATGGTCCAATCTCCCACTGCCATGCTGGCAGCTTCCACCCATCCAGTTCCGGTCAGGTGCAGAGGTGCAAAGAGAAAGGATAATGACCTTGGCTTTCTGGAAAGGATTTTGTTATGGCTACATAGCGTCTCACTCCGTACAATCCCCCCTCCCATTTCCCCACCATAGAAAAAATGCCTAGTAGAATAATAGAAAGCGTGGCAGGCCAAAGACCCACAAGAAAAGAAGGCTGCAGGCCTGACAGTGTACGAGTGTGTAATTTTTAAAAAGAGACTAGAGAGCCTTTTGTCTGAAATGGTGTAGGGACTGCTGCTCAAGCAGGGGGATGGACTAGAAGACCTCCAAGGTCCCTTCCAACTTTCTTATTCTCTTCTGTTATTCTCTTATTCTTTTTTCTACTTTCTTTCTGCAGTTTCTGCTCTCCCACCACCCCCTTCATCTTCTTTCCTTTCCCAACTACTTTTACCATTTATTAGTTTGGCTTCCATTTTATCTTCTTTGTAAAAAAAAAAAATGCCATAAAAATTTACCTGGCCGGGGGGGGGGGGGGAAGGGAAAATAGGGAGAGAGCAAGTCTTCCGGATTCATCTCAGGCGTGGGGTGAGGGGAGGCATCTCTCTTCAGTTTCTTTCTTTCACAAAAGGAAGAGAGAGAAAAGAGGGAGAGGAAAGAGGGAACATCTACTAGCCGACCAAAAGAAAAAGAAAGAAAGAAAAGATTGTCTACCAAACCTGGAAGCTTTCAGGAGGCTATTTAGAAAGCCCTCAAAGAGTCCTTGGTAAATGGGGTTTTTTTTTCCTCCCAGCCAAAAGAAAAGGCTGCTTGACCATCTACTGAAAAGAACTCGTTATCCAGTGGCCTAAAAAAAAACACCCCCAACTACAGACAATAGTTTATTATTATTTTTTTTTAAAAAGGCATAGGAGTTCTGTGCAAGGAAGACCCCCTAATCCCACCCCCATTAGAATCACTAAGGATTTACTCTCTTGTTCTCTCTCCAAACCCAATTGTTAAGTGCAGCTGCTTTCTTTTTCTACTTAACGAGAGCAAGTGGGCCGCGATTCAGAAAATAATCATGGAAAAGAGAGAGATGTCTGCAGGGACAGATTCAAAAGAGGAAGACGACTGTCCTCTCCCATTTTGTACCTGACGTGACCCTGGCTAATGGGAAACTGAGGCAGCCAAGATGTTTGGCTTATTCCGTGGCCCCCTTTCCTCCCCTCTGGGCCGCCTTCCACCAGACTGCGGCTTCCGAGATTAAAACCCACGAAAACGGCTAATAATTGAGACTCTGCTCCTTCCGCTTAGGGGGGAAAAAAATCCTCTTTTGTCCCCTGTAAATGATTTTTTTTTAAAGGAAAAAAGAGCAGTTGAGACAAATGAACTATCATCTAAGGCACCAGTCAGCAACTGGGGGTCCGGGAGAAAATTTTGGTGGTCTGCAGAAAAATTATTTGCCTTTTTTATATTGCACTAAATCAGGAGTCCTCCAACTACGGCCCCTGGGACAGATACGCACAATGGACGCTTGTGTGGCTGCAGAGAGTTTCCCCCTTCGGGGTCTTTTTATGAGGGTCAGAGGGGGGCAGAAATTCTGATTTGGGGGTCTGCTTCAGCCTCCTGGTGGGGGGCTTTGGGCGAAGAGCCGGAGGGCCTCGTTCCAGTGGGACGGCATCATGGCCTGGAACTGGCTGACCATCTCAGCCCGCTGAGCCTCCAGGCACCTGGCCTTGAACTCCCACAGGTCTTCCCTCTGCTTGGAAAGACCATGCTCCTAGTCCTCAGTGAGGTGCTTCTGCTGAGCCTCCTTCTCGGCCAGATCCAATTTGAACCGAGCTGTTTTGCCAACTCTTTCTCCTGGGGGCTGCTTAGCTCCAGCAGCTGCTTTCTGTGGGGGCCCTAAGGAGCTCGGGTGGGCAGGCGAGGAGGGGGCTGGCAAGGCGCCACTCAACATGAGTGACACTCAGTTGGCCACACCCATCCAGTCACATGACCACCTAGCCATGCCCACCCGGTCATTAGGCAGATGGTATTAGTGGTCCGCAGGATTTAAAATTATGAATTTAGTGGTCCCTGAGGTCCGAAAGGTTGGGGACCCCTAGTAGAGGATGCCCTGCTAGAGCTCAGGGTTGAAGACCTCCGGGGTCCTTTTCCAATGCTGTAATTCTGTATTCTGCAAAAGCAGGTTTGAGGGAGACTTAAGGGAGCGAACAGAATTGGGAGTCCAGGAATAGTCTGGCTGGTTGGATTTCCTAAGGCAGCGGAGATAAAACACCGTGGCCTTTTTTCCCCTGTCAGAAAAACCAGAAATGCTCATTTCCAGATCAGCCTCACAGTCGGATGGCTTCCAAGCACGTTTGCAGGGTGGATATTCCGGCTGAAGCCTTCTTTACCTTGGGGTGAAATATTGATTTCTGACATGAAATTTAAATTCTGAGGTGGAAGTTTTGCTACTGTGGTAGGCCAGGCTGTTTAATGGGGCTTGGGGAGGGGGGTTCTCTCCATATTCTGAGCAAGGAGCAGCGGGGTTTCCCTCCCCCTTCCTATCTCCCCTCAGAATGAGAATGTGAAAAAATTGCACACAAAATATGCAAGGGTTAAAACATATCCAGCTAGTCCTCAATTTATAACATTTCATTTAGTGACTTTCGGCCTAGTCCTTGCTAGGCTTTGGGGTCCTCATCAGTTCTAGAAGGGAGTGAGGTGGGGGGGGAGGGGGAGGACTGTGGGGGTCCTTGGTGCTTTCTGAGCTTGATGATTTTCTTCAAGACGTTTCATGACCCAACTAGGTAATGTCATCGGTGTTACGTTTTATCCATCAAACTCAAAGTAAGGCCAAGGTTGATGAGGCCCATGATTTGGGGTATTTCAGTCTCGATGTATTTGATTAGGCTGGGCGTATTGCATCGTAGTCTGCCATGAATTCTTTACTAGCACTGATGATGAAGAAACGCCTGAAAGCACCAATGGCCCCACAGTCCTCCTCCTCCTCCTCCCTCCACTCTCTTCTAGCACTGACGATGTTACCTGGATGGGCGTAGAAACAGCCGAGCTCAGAGAGCCCCAAGGACTCTGAGAAGAAAGAAGCGAGGCTCCCCCCTGAGAGGCAGGTGTTTGGAAAGGAGACCCACCTGCTGTTCCAGAATAGTCAGCAATGGTGATGGGGTAGCCATCTTCCTCCGGGTCCACGGAGAAGAGGCCAACGGCAAAAGTCCCGTAATGGGCGAAGGCCGTGCCGTTGTCAAAATCCTCCAGGTCGATGCGCAATTCATAGGCCCCTTGTGTGCTCAGAGCATGGATTCGCTTCAGACCTGGAGAAGAAGAGAGGAAGAAATCCGTCAGCTTTGCGCTTCTCCTTCTCCCCTTCCTGACCTTGGGTACCAAGGACTCCTGTCTTGAGCAGGGGGATGGACTAGAAGACCTCCAGGGTCCCTTCCAGCCCAGACTTGAGGATGGGATTCTTACTGCTTTAAACTGTTCTGGCCCAGGTTTCCTTAACAAGCATGAAGCAGAGTCTTGGCCCTGGCAAAACCCCTTTTATTTACACAACTGTGGATTCCTTTCATTCACGGTCCGCAAGGCTTAGTAAAACAGTCTTTCAAAGGAATGTTTATCCACACGAACCTTAGCTCGCTTGTCTCCTGGCCATTGGCCCAAAATCACCCAGCTGTCTTTCATGCCTAAGGTGGGGCTAGAACTCCCCTTCTCCTTGTGCTTGGCTCAAAGTCATCTAGCTCTCCCACCAAGGGCAGGACTAGAACTCCCTGCCCAACCCTCCTCAGGGGTGGACATACCCAGCCAGTGTTCTCCCGTGAGTTTTCCAAAACCATCTTTGTAAGCTTCCCAGCCGCGGAAGAAATTCAGCGATCCATCCTCGCGCCTCTGAAAGACCTGGAGGAGGGGCACAGAATTAACACGGGTGGGCACAAACCCCAAAATACACACACATACAAAAAAAAAACCTAACCCCCCACCCCCCACAAAACTCCGCTTGCTGATGGCCGAGTCCCTGTCGCTTTC